GAGCACGGCTGTGGTGGGCAGGGATCTGAGCCTGTCTTCCGAACACACTCAGCCGAGTGGACTCAGAGCTTCCAGGAGCAGCCGGACCAGCCTGGGAGCTTGGCCGACCGAGGGAAGAAGCCGGGCTCTGTCACCTTGCGGGTCTGCCCTCAGTACGAAACCGGACTCTCCAAAGAGACCAGTGTCAAGGTACTGGAGCCTGCAAAGGGCAGTGCTGCGGCTCTGCTGTGCCTCGACAGAAAGGGCTGGCAGGATGGGGAGGCAGGGGGTGGAGGCTCGTGTGCCCCCCGCCTGGCACTGCCCTTCCCATCCTCCACTGTCCCAGGGCTGAGGTCCCCTGGGGACCTGCAGTGCTCCTGCCCTGCATCCTTTCATCCCTGCAGTAGTGGTGAGGCTCCAGCAGTGCAGGATGGGGCACGTGGCTCTGCAGGAGCGATAGCTGCTCCCAAGGAGGGGGCAAGCCGGGGCCAAGGCTAGGGTGTTTTTGGAGGACGAAGCAGTGCAGCCATGGTTCAGCTCTTGGTCTGTGATTCAGCAGCTGACAGTAGGTTAGTGCCAGCCAGGGCGAGCAGGGAGTGAGCAAAGGTCACACTGATGGGTTTCCCTCGCCACATCCTGGTGTTCAAACACATCAGCCCCCCAGCTGAAATCCAGCTGTCACCCTGCCGCCCTGTCCCCAATGCTGTTGCACTTCGGGACATGGTTTAGCAGGTATGGTGCGGGGGGGGTCAGGTTGATGATCTTAGAGGTCTTTTCCAACCTTAATGATTCTATGATTCTCCCACAGCCTCCCCTCCCCAGGGTCTGCGCTCCCCTGCTTCCAGCCCTGTGTGCCTTTGGGGAAGGGAGAGCAGTAGCCTCTTGTCTCCAGCCCATGAAGGGGAGCAAGCAAAGCTGCCTCCTTGCTAGAAGCATTGGGGTCCACTGGAGCCGCTGTGTGACCTGGTTCCTCTCTGCGAGGGCTTTGCTGCTGAGAGCTGACCCCCGAGCTCTGATCACCCTCACCTACTCCAGGTGGGATCCCCTGTGAAGGAAGTCCCCCAGGGCACATGTCTTGGGCAGGGCCACCTTCTTTGCTCCCAGCCAGGAAGCTCCTTCCCCTGTTGAAATTTCCCCTCCGGCACTGCCGGTGCCCAGAGCCCAGGCTGACGGAGCAGCCTGAGTACAGCCTGCCTATAAAATGGCAGAGGAAGGACAGAGCCAAGGGGCTGCCAGGTTTTACTGCTGGGGAGTTTTGATAGCTGGTTTCTCCTCACCCGGTGGGGACGTTAGAAGCAGAGGGGAATCTGACTTGCAGTATTTATTTTCCATTTGAGAAATTACCATAGATTTCTATGCAACTCAAGCGCAGCCCTCGGGTTCCTGGCGTGCTGCCCACGTGGCTTTTGAAGTTGCAAAGCTCTGGACACGCCTGCTTGAAAGCGTTTTACGATGTTCTTCTCGAAGAAAGCCGAGTTCAAAGGAAAGGCTCCTCGGCTGGCGTAAATCAGCACAGCCCTGCGATGATTGTTCAGAGCTGGCAGGGTTCACGTGGGCCGAGGGCTTGGACCACCCTGCCGGGACACGGCTTGCGGCGCTCCGCAAGCCCTTACGGATGTGCCAAGGGAAACCGTCGCCTTGCCCAGGCAAGGATGGATGTCCCGCTTTAGGGCCTTTGAAGTCAAGTAGTGGGCTCCTGACAGTCGTTAGCAGCCAGAGCCCAGATGAGCTCGTTTTCTCGGCTGTATTCGAGATTCAGAGGGCAGTCCCCAGAAAGTGGAGAGGGAGAGCGAGGGTAGCTGTTGGTGGGAGAGCCCCGAGCTTGTGAATGGGACCAAACTGAGTGCTGCTTCCCAAAGAGGCTTCAGCTCAACACCACCAGTTTGGCAGAGCCGTTGTGGTTCAGTTGGTCGGATGGTCTGGATCCTGCTTGCAAGAGGGACTTTGCGCAGATACCTTAGTGGTGCCAGAAGCAGGGCTGGGACTAGCCCTGTCCAGCTGCAGGTAATGGGATGGTGGGGCACCCTGAGTGGAGCGGGCGAGCCGTAGGTGACACATGCAAGAGTTGAGCTGTAAGGACACAGATTGTTCAGTGGAGGCAAGGAAGCGGTGCATGAGCTGGGGCCCCAGCCCGTGTGGGCGTTCCTGGGCACAGCGTGCCTGTGGCTCCACGCCAGGCTGCTGCCACTCGCTCGCGGGGCACCATTGGGCCAGCTGTTCCTCCATCCTAATGGTCACCGCTGTAGGACAGGCCGTGTGCTGCCTCTGGCCCTGGTTCCTTCTCATTCCTCCCCCTTACCATCCATCTCTCCCACCTTTCTCTTTCCACAGCTGCATATCACCAGCCAGACGTCTGCCGGGGAGGTGGTGAAGCTGGTGGTGCTGGAGATGAACGATGTCTCCCGTGGCATGCTGGGCGGCTCGGCTGCCTTCTGCTATGGTGAGGAGCAGCTGGAGCACTTCGGACTGGTGTTTGCCTCCGAAGAGAGCGAGCGGTGGCTTCCCGATGACTTCTTGCCTCTGTCCCTCCAAACTACCTGGCCCGAGGGCCGGTTCTACATCCGGATCAAGGAGACATCCCCTCTGGTGCTCCAGTACGGGCCAGCCACCACCGTATGAGAGGAGGAGAGCCGGCAGGGCGGCGTGGGGACCTCAGCTTCCAGAGAGCAGACAGCTCGTCTCTGATGCTTCCTTCTTCCACAGACACCCTCTCATCAGGCGTCCGCGGGGTGGAATGGGATCATACTGGGCTGTGTGTTATTTGTTTGTGTTTTGTTTTTTTTTTTAACCAAAGAGACATCGAGACTCAGTTTTTCTGACTGCAGAAGAGGAGGGTGCAGAGCAGAGACCTCAGAGCTCGGGAGGAATCTCTGCAGGAATGGAATTTTTGAAAGTAAACATTTTTAAGGGGAAAGGGGGGGGGAGAGAGAGGAAAACTATTACAAAAAAAAGCAGCAATACCTTTTTTATTTTCCTTTTTTTCTGAAAAGCCTTGTTTGGGATTCACTGAAGGCAAAGGCACAGAGGATTGCTGGGGAGGGTTGTGGTGTCAATGAGGAGAGGGCACGAGTCACAAGGACAGCACTGAGAAGGGTGTTTTCCTATCATCTGCCCTCCTTTCACTGTACCTGGAGAAACAATTCTTGCACATAGTTCATGGAACAAAATGATATTATTATTTTTTTCATGGAAAAAAATTAATAATAATTGTGCTAGAGACACTGGAGTTGTGTAAGAGGTGAAGACCCTTTGACTTGTTTTAAAGGCAAAAGGAGCCCACACAGCCAGCCCCCCGCACACACAGGTGTGCACACAGCTGTGTGGATACCACCGCTAGAGGTTTGCTATAGGGCAGCCACTGCAACACCCTGTCCACCACCCTAGGATTTCCCTTCCTCCTCGGTTGCCGTTTTGTTCTGGTGATTGTGCTTGGCCTCTCTTGTATGTCCTGTAGCATGACATTTTGTTAGCCAGTAGGTCTCTTGTTAACAAGGTTATTTTTCTGATCTCCTGTGGTCCATAGTAAAGATGACTGCTGCTGACTGCGTATCACTCTTTTCCTTCTTGCGGCTTGATGGGTTGGGCTCATCTTTCATGGGATGCTTTCCACCCAGTGGAGGTTTACGTTAACACGCAAATCGCATGTGTGGGAGTGCAGTGCAAGTTAAGAATGTTTTTCTGGGCTTCGTTGCTCTGTAAGGCAGTTTAAGCTTTGGCATGCAAAGGCAGTCACCTCCACATGGTACTGGAAACCCAATGGTTGTAGGGCCTGAGCATCTGCAGCTGAATGCGTTAATCAGGTCCTGCAGCCTGCAGTGAGGGAAGAACACCCGGAGAAGAGCGTGGAAGGCAGGGAGCGCTCACAGCTGCATTGCAGCTGCTGCACTTGCAAGCTAGCGGCAGCAAGCAAGGTGTGAGGCTGGCAGTCCGTCACAAGGTGAGGCTCCTGTTGCTGATGCCCCCTTCGCAGCTGCCTTGCTCCCCTCCTCTCTGCATGGAGGGGTTTGGCCTGGGCAGCAGACCTCGTCCCTGGGTGCTGGGGTGAAGGCAGGGGCTCTGGGCAGCCGGGGGGGGGCTGCCTGAGTTGCTCCTCAGAGGTTTTGTTGTTCCTCGCCTTGCTGTGGAGAGCCAGCAGCATGCTGTGCGGTGCGGGCAGGAATATATCCCAGCACGAGCCCTTCGCCACCCCACGTCAAAGCCACTCTGGAGGGGAGGATTGTGTGCCAGCCCCTCAGCTGGTGCAAATCAACGGCACCGCATTGACGTCAGCACAGCCACCGCCATGGGATGTGGAGGCGAGCGGCAAAGGAACGTTTAAAAAAGCATTTCTCCCATCGTCTTTCCCCTTTGCTCATGTCCCGCCTAGAGTTAAAACCAATCCCGCTTTCCCAGGTCAAGGAAGAAGCAGGTCGGTGAGTATAGAGGTTCCCATGGAGTTTGTCCTTGTTGGGCATCCGTGGGCGTCGACATCCCGAAGAGACGGGACCTGCAGGATAGCCCTTCCCTAGCAAGAGCCTGTTCACATGCGTCACCTACTGATGGTCAGAGCCCGGGGCAGAGGAGAGGGAAGGCACAATTGATGGAAAACTATTAAGTGGCTTTCTGGAAGTCACAGGGTGAATTCAGTATGAGAGCAGGGCTACGTACAGAAAGCTACATCTGTGCTCCTGATGCTCCTGAGCACGGAGGCATGTAACTCTTGCTGCCCTTGTATTTGACCCAAGAGGGGAAAAAGGCCTCCCCTTTTCTGAAGTAGTTGTTCTCCCTTCCTTGAAGCCCTGCTGCATTGAGAGATGGAGCTGTGACCCAAAGCCAGGCACGGACTCCATGACTATGGTGGACATGGGGCAAGCTCTGCAGCCGGACCTGGCTGGGGTCTGGTTACCCCCATTTCTCAGTGCAGAGCCCCTGCCTATGGGAGGATCTCACTGGCTGTGCGGTGCTTTTCTGCAGGAGTTTCTCTGGCGGCATGGCAGGATGTATCACTTGGCTGCAGGGAACAAAAGCCGTACATGGTTTCATGGGAGCTCCTCCCTGTGCCTGGAAGAGGAAGAGGGAAGAGGGAAA